ATAATTCAACATTGAATACATCATGGTTACAGGAAAGCTAAATTTAAGGAAAAACTGAAGGTCTTGGCGTGACCAGCCGATTGACCTCCCGTTTAGATGATATCGGAGCAAAAGCAGAATATTGAGTCTGAAGCCTCTTCAACTCACCAGGAGTCTAGCAACAGTCTCTCATCCACCAGGATCTCGTCAATCATCGACACGGGTATCAACCCACGGCTTACAGGTTGGAGTGCCTATTTTTATTTTAAACATCGGGCAACTCGTGCGATGTTAGGATCACTTTAGTCTGGCCTCTACCCTTCGACCTGTCGAGTAATTAATGAGTAAGTAGTCGTATTGTCTGTGGATATATAGTTTACATTAACATATGTTTTTACATGTGTCAATCCCTACTTCAAAGTTTAGGACAAACAATAGGAAGTTGGTTTGTGTTTTATACATTAATTGTTTTATTTGCCATAACCAATAAATATGTAGGTTATTTTGATTATGTAAAGGATTGCATGACAAATTTTGATATTGGATACTTAAAAAACACTATAGTCAGTTTTGTTTATTGAAAACAAAATTTATACAAATTGTGAAAAAAAAAAATTTGGCGTCTTATTCCATTTTCTTAAGTGGGCTTATTTATATATATCATCCAATTAATAATTAAGGCCAATGGATCATTATCTATCTAAAGGCATAGTCACATTGTCGGTCATTTGATATTCTGTTGGTCCAGATAAGTCATTTGTTCGTGGTAAAGTATTGATTACAATATTTCAGTATTTCAGATGGCGTCTGCATTCACATACTCTCCGTTGATGACACATTTAACAGAGTCTTAGTGATTTTATAAATAGACAAAGGAACAGACTAAACGAACACTTAACAAAGTGTGCACTGCTCTTATATAATATTATTCAAAGCATCATGCGAAAGTACTGGGCAGACGTCATATGACACTTGTTTCAGAAACAAAGTGTTAATGAGTTCTTACAAGCTCTAGTTCATCCTCATTATTGCTTAACTCAAAACAGCAGATAAGTGGTCAAATTAGTTGGATGTAAAACAAAAACAACAAAGAAATGCAAACTCGAAGCACTGAGCCGTTGCTTTATGTGTGTTTTTGCTATGCATGTTGGTTGCACTTCTGTAAATATAGTCAATGCATTTCCTTTTACGGCTAAAACTTTACTATGAAGTTTCGTAAAAAAGTATATCCTAGAATCTAAATTTAATAAGCACTACTATTTTCTGCAAAGGTCAGAACATAGGGCTGTGCGGCATATTTTCAACATTTATATGCCCCGAACTTCTAATAGTGAGCTCTCACAAACATGATCAGCAGCGTCATATTTATTTGATCATACGACACAAAGTTGTAGGTTTTGCTAAAAGTTTACCGTTTTATACTTGGAAATGTTATGAAAAAAATAAACTGGGTGTCAGAGAACAAATTGAGAAGCAAAGTAGGGTAATATAAGAACTAGGATATGAGATCAAACACCGAAACTGTGCAAATTTCTATTCACTCCTTGCTAAAAATTCTTTTTACAGATTTTTTTTAAAAAATATTTCAAAATAATATCGCTCGCTAGTAAAAAATTCTTTCACCTGCCAAAAATCAAACTTCGAAAAAAAAACTAAATGAAAATTTCGCTCTCTCACTACCCTTTTTGAAAAGAAATAGTCGAAAGAACTAGACATTAATTTTGTGTGGCCTTATCATTATTGTTCCTGTGAACATTACTAAATTTTACCATTTTATTAACGTGGTATGTAATCAGAAAACCTGTTTCTTAATGCCTTCGGATTCATGATTTGTATGGTATAAACAATTATTGACTAGAAAACACTTTTAATATGTTGATCACAAACTATTTTTGAAAATGAAAAAAAAAATAGCATATTACTGTATCAGTTGCATTAATACCTGTATGGGCTGATTGCTTGATTGGTGTTTGTTTCACGCCGCCTCAGCACAAAAAGGCTATATCGCGGCTAGAGCCAATTCAAATTTCTTCACAACGGTAATTTTTTAAAATCAGACAAAAGCTCCTTCAATATACTAGACTTAAGTTTAAAGCAAAATTACTTATTTACAAATACAATTCAACACTAAGACAACGTGATATAATTTTTAACTGAAACAGCATATTTATATTTTATAATACATTCCAATTTCCTTTAAAAATGAAATAACTTTTCTAACTATCAAATAAATCATACATATTATTAACATTAAAGTGCTTCCTATGAATATCAGCAAAGTCAATACGTTGAATTAAAACATGTTAAATAGTACACTTGCAATTGCAAGGTATACAGTGGTTGAATTTCATTTTTCAGAAGATACTCGTGTGTCATTCTATTATGACAGTAACGGCATTAAGAAATATTACACTGATATTTTCAACATATGAAATTATTTTAAGGTTTGCTTACTTTGGGTTTATTTCATGTAATCTATTATCGTTCCTTTTACGCTTTTTGCCATATTTTAATAACATATTCTCTAATATAAGATCTAAAATTGGTATATGGTATTTTACATTGAGCTATGGGATCACTTACGGTATTTGTTGCTTCCTGATTTACAACTGTGTTTCCATAGATGACAGTGTGACTCGGCACTCATGGAAAAATAATTTCAAATTTCTTAATACGTTTACATTTTTTTTTAATTTTAGTATTTTGTATAGGTTGAAAACACGAAAGTGGGTCAGAACATATAATAAATTTCAATTTGTCTGATGAAGCAATAAACTGCAAGGCCAGAATTATTTCCTTAGCATCTGAAGTAAAGATGGATAAGGAGGTAAATTGTCCATGTGTTCCCATTTAATTAAACTTTTCCTTAACATTTGTTGATCGATGTGGTATATTTAATTTGTTCTCTTTAGAAATGAGTTATTACTATTTACCTTTCAGTGCACTTGTTTACATTCTTTCTTCTCGATTTTCCACTCGCACTCGCGCTGTGCGGTGGACGAAGTCTTAGCGAGAGGTCTCGTAGATAAGGTCACTGCATACGGGAAACTATTGGCGAATTAGTATATGGGAAGAGAAAAATTAATTCAATAGCAGTACATTTATTTAAGTTTTGATAATATAAAGGATATTTTTTTCACTGAAAAGTTCACGTACACTTGTTTTTTAGCCATTGAAGTATATAAAACATATTCAACTTTTTTTTTAAATTTGAAGCTTCATATGACTTTAATGTATACAATTGTAACACAAACGATCTTTAACTCCTTGGTTGAATAATGGTAATGCTGAATTTAAAAACCAAATCGTCTAGGCATTCACAACATAACCACAAATAATATTACAAAAATCCTTCTAAAAGGAGCCTTGGCTCACACCGAACAGCAAGTTATAAAGGGCTCCGAAAATGACTAGTGTAAAACCATTCAAACAGGAAAACCAACAGTCTAATCTATATAAAAAGAAACGAGAAACACTTATGAACCACATCAACAAACGACATTCACTGAACAACAGGTTCCTGACCTAGGACAGGTGCAAACAAATGCAGCGGACTTAAACGCTCTAACAGGCGCCAACCTTCGACATAATCTGAATGAAACTTCACAACATAGAAAGACACACTATAAAATATCAATTGATTGATTGATTGATTGTTGGTTGCTTAACGTTCAGTGGCAAATATTTCATGCATATTCAGGACGAGAACAAATTAACAATAAATACAATAGGTAGGTTCTGTAATAGGGGCCGTCCGGGATTCAGGTCGGAGAAATTTAGACTGCCACGGGAAATGAGGGTATATTGGATAGGGACAGAATTTAGCCTTGCAACAGGTCACCTACGGACCCCTCAAAGAGTTGTTGCAAGGGTTCTTAACGTGCAAAGAGCGTGGCACTCCCTTTACACGAGACATCGGATTTAACGTCCCCATTCTGACCGGACGTGGCTGCAAATTTGTACATCCCGCACAGCCAAACGGACGCTTCACTTTAGCAAAGGTTTTACTGCCGGTCGGAGGAAGACCAATGGTGACCATACTTCTATTCCCCAGTCACCCTTGGGGGGAAATATCAATTGAAATGACTTAACTCAATCATAAGACATATTAAAAAAAAACAAGCAAACATATACTGAACGAACAAATTTGATCCATGACACAATGTAAACACAACACCAATAAAAAAGAGGGAAAAGCTAAACATTATCAGAAAAACAACTTTTACCTTGGACAACATGGCGTTTAATAAAACAACGTACACAGGTAAATATAATAATTCTGTTGTAAGGAGTACATGGAGTACGGAAATATTTTCCACAAAACAAATAAATTTGTTGTTCAAAGTTCGCGAACAGACTTGAAAATTTATCGTCACACTAAACACCCATCAAAGGTGGTATATATTAAAAATAGTGAGACAAGATATAACACAAAATAAGTAAACATTGAATAAAAAAAATGCATTACAAATTGTATCATCAGGTCACATTAACACGAAAGTACGATTTGAGAGTACTCGCAGTTATTGAAAGCTAGTTAAAAGGCAAAAACAAGTAATAATAAAAAATCATGCATCGTAGACTAAAATCAACTAAAACACATCCCAGGGATTTAGTGTTTTAACATCATGGACAGTCAAAGAAGACATGACTTGTGCAATGCCAAAAAAAAAGTATCGACAAACAGTAGGGTAGTTAGGATTTAACCTTATAAAATACATGTAAATGTTAGATATAGATAAAGCAATCTCTATATAGTAAATGAACGTGGATGTGTTTTTATATATCCCCCCTCCCCCCTTCCCCAAAAAAAAACAAAAAACAAAAGCATTTGGAAAGAATACAAATTTAGTTATGTTTTATTATTTAATGCAATATTCCATTTTTTTGGTCTGGAAATTTTAATAAGTTTCTCATAGACTTCTTCTTAGCCCATTGATATATTTTAAAGTACTTACAGCATGCAAATGACAATATCAAAACCAATACAGCTGCTAAGATGCGATATAGATCTACAAAAAATACGAAATGCAGCTGATGAAAGAAAGTGTTTTGCATTTTACGACATTTGTATTGTCGATTTTTAATAAAAGTATAATTTTACTACCAAAGACGGTAATTTTAACTGATAGTTTGGATCATTAGCTATTTTTCAATTGAATATTTTATTAAGTGTCTGTGTTCTATGTAGCAAAAGTTATGATGACAGCAATTCTGGAAAAAAACAACATCAAAGGCATATCATTTACTGATTACGTCCCGCCATTGTGTTATTGTGCTATAGTCATTTTTTTGTATTCTTGTCTTTCATTTTTGCTTAATTTGTGGATGTTTTTATGCCATTTTGTTTTGCTTTTTTAACATATTTGATTGTTTTATAGTGATTAAGGTTTTAACACAATGTTGACTGCTGTACTCTTATTTTTGACATTTTTACGTATTATGTCTGTTTGTTTTGTTCACACATTGTTGTCAATATTATAATGAAATTGTATGCGACTGTCATACAAGTGAGAGGTTTAGCTAGTTATAAAACCAGGTTTAATCCACCATGTTCTATATGAGGAAATGCCTAACATGAGAGTTGTTCTCCATTCGTTTGATTTGTTTAAGCTTTTGATTTGCCATTTGATGAGGGAATTGAATGTTCGGTATTTTTGTTATTTTACTGTTAAGACATTTACATAAAAATAATTTTGAGGACGATCCACATTTTCAGCGAAGATCCTTTTTGTTGATATTTGATAATGCTTACTATATCCTTCATTGGCTCTATCCTTTGAACACCTTTGAGATTCTTCTGATTTTTTTCAGGTCTTCAATCTGTTTGAGTCATGATAAATTTTACTTTGTCAATGTCACAAGGTGACTTTATTTACTCGTTTATGTATAGTTATTTTGATTGGTTGATTCTATTTCAATTTGCAGACCGTCAGTATCTTATGAATATTGTATATTCTGCAAACTTCAGTGTATAATACATGTGCACAATTTACATTTAATTAATTAGGTGGTGACCACTTTTTACTTGGGCATTTACCTGTAAACTCGTCGAACGGTTTGAGTATCACGTGATACCTGTTCTTGATGAGCTGCGTATTCATCATCAGGTAACACCTTAACCAGTAAAGGTGTGGTAGGTGTATATGTGTTTAAAATTTAGTTTGCAATGTGGCGTGGATGCAGTCAGTGGATTTCTGTAATAGTTATCCCATGAGGACGCGGTGTGTCAGTGTTAGATCACCCCAACGGCCGGAGGCCGGAGGGTGATCTTACACTGACAAACCAAGTCCGAATGGGATAACTATTTTACATTCCAGCTGTTCTAGATTATATAAAAAAAACATTTACGCTTCATAACGTCTAGTTTTAGAACGCCGCACAATCATTATAATATACTTTATATATTACTATATAGTATATACCCTTTATGAGCCCCGGGCACAATGTTTAAATACGCTAAATTAACTGAAAGTTTTCATCCAGTCGTCCTGGTGAAGGGGTATGAATCGTGGGTCTATATACTAAAGGTCTTGAGTTCGATTCCCAGCATAGACACTGGATTTTTTCTACATAAATTTTGATAGTTAGTCGTTTCCTGTGAATATTTCTAAGTTTTATTGTGCATTGTACATTCCCGCCAAAATGTTACAGAACAAAGGAAAGCATACAGAACAAAGAAATGCAAGCTAGTGTGATCTGGTAGGGGTGTTCCGGCTTAGATCAACCCTGGTAGAACAAAGGAGCTGGGATGTAAGAAGAAGGATTGAATTTATTCTTATTGTTAATATTTATTCGTGCTAAATGTTCAGTTTTCTGCAACAACGCAAATATATGATATCTATTTACATTTAAATTTCCGACATTGTAATTTTATTAATGAAATAAGTTAATTAATGTTCTATATAATGATAGTTTAGAACGTGTGTATGCTTCCGCCTATAGTAAATAAGCGATTGTTGAAATAGTTAGTATTTTATGTAAATTTGCTTACGATAATGCAATGTTGTATATATCTCCATCAGTATGTAAAGCAATATGCAAAGTATAGACATGAATGTATATTCATCGTTAAAGCTATATAGTGTGTGTGTAGTAATTGAATAATGACATTATACTTTATAGTCAATTATGTGACATGTAACGTAAGGCATTATGCGATATGCCGTAATTATTTTTTGTGTAAAGTAAAGCATCATTTTATGTAACGCAATCTTGTATAGATTGAACGCATGAGTAGTCGTACTAAGTATTCATGATTATTTATGCAACATGTGTAATATATAAGCGTATGCATATATCTTATTAACGTATAGTATATATTTCAATAGGTCCCAGTCATAGGGTTGAGTAGTATGAATTACTAAGTAGTATGTAGTATGAAAATAAACAACCAACTGGTAAAAGTAGTGAGCAGTATGGTATTAAGCAACATTATTGTATGACAATGTAAGCTGTATGAAACTCCGTCGTATATCGTTTTCATATCTCAGCTTCGGACGCAAGAAATTATTAAACGTGTTGTTTTCAATATTTTATACTACTTCTTGCTCGTGCATGTTGCCACTATGCGGACTTCGTTAAGAATGGCCTTAGACAAAAACTGCTTCAAAGGAGTTAAGAGGAAGAAAAATTAACATTTCACAAGTTTTACGATCACCATCACGAATTGGTTGGCCGATACGATGTGTCGGTGTTTCAACTTACAAGCGACATGTCTTTGCGGTGTTAAAATCTTAGATGTCAGTATATTTGTCAAATCTGTAATTTTTCAAATTCTGTCCTATTCCCAATTGTGACCTTTGACTGACTTTAGATTTTCATTGCTGGTGATGCATGAACGGCAGGGGACGCTTACCTTGATTTTTGCATCTGTTAATTTACTAACGGTGCAGACACAATACACAATGCAACGCAACAAAAAACTAGATTGTAATGTCTTCAAATTAATTTATTATGTTAGATTGATATTTTTTTAATCAGGTTTTTACTTACTTGTAGGAACATTGTTTAGGTTGTATCTGTAGTTGTCAAACTCGTTGATCGTTATTGTCCGTGATATATTAAACCTATAAAAATAACGCATAAACATGTTTATTGTCGCATAGTTTTGTACAGATTGAATCAGAAAAATATTTATTAAAATATATAAGTTCGACTCCCTATTTACCGCTAGCAGAATCTGAATTATTTGTTGTCGACGTTACTTATATGAATTACGCAAAAGTTAAAAGTATGAAGCTTTTGAAATTTCATGAACTTTTCGTCGTGAGCATAACTGATACACCTGTATCCATATGGTATTAAGAAATAAAAACTTTGGAATACAATGTCATATTCATTTACGCATCATGACAATTTAAATTTATGTTTTTGTAAAATATATTCAACGTGCTAAACTGAATATATAGATATATGTAGATTAATGTATACAAATAATTGAACAAAACAAAGACATATAATTTGAGATATAAACACTTACCTATCTCCTAAGTTGGGACTTCTTGTCATTGTTATGTCATTATAGCATTTGATATCTGAAAAATATAATTGAGAAGTTTATTCTTCTGATCAAATGTTTTTCACTTCTGTGAGTGGTATACATATGAATATACGGAGCTTTTCCCGTCAGTTGAAATGTTCGGTAACAAGTTAGTTTGCACAATCTCGATAACCAGATATACAAATTCGTTCAATTGTTTTCATTACATAATTAAAGTTTGTTGGTTATAAACATACACGAGGGATTCGTTTTCTTTATATTAAGATGGTATTACTTTACATTTTGTGCAACATGTACATTTTTTAAGAGATAACTATGAAATTATAAATAATGCATCAAACTGAATAACAATCAAGGACCTACCGTTTCCATCTAGTTCCTAATGAAATACCTTATGAATAGTAACAATCAATGTCCAACCGTTTCCATCTAGTTCTCAATGAAATACCTTATCAATAGTAAGAATCAATGTCTCACCGTTTCCATCTAGTTCTCAATGACATACCTTATTAATAGTAACAATCAATGACTCACCGTTTACATCTAGTTCTCAAAGGAATATCTTATCAATAGTAACAATCAATGTCCCACCGTTTCCATCTAGTTCTCAATGCAATACATTATTAATAGTAACAGTCAATGACTCACCGTTACCATCTAGTTCTCAAAGGAATATCTTATCAATAGTAACAATCAATGTCCCACCGTTTCCATCTAGTTCTCAATGACATACCTTATCAATAGTAACAATTAATGACTCACCGTTTCCATCTAGTTCTCAATGAAATACCTTATTAATAGTAACAATCAATGTCCCACCGTTTTCATCTAGTTCTCAATGAAATACCTTATCAATAGTAACAATCAATGACTCACCGTTTCCATCTAGTTCTCAATGAAATAATCTAAATATGCGACAATTACTGACGGGGATTCTGACTTATCCTTATTATTTCGAATATTTCAACTTTTAATAAAAAATCAATTTACTTAAAAAATGAACGTTTGCAATAATTTTTGATAGCAACACAAAAGTGCTGACTACTTGGCTGGAAATATCCTGGGTACTAAATGTCCATCTGCACTGAAATCGACCCAATAGTAGAAAAAAGGCCTTATTATATTAATAATCCTAGCCTTAATCCCTATACTGGTTTTTAAAAAACAGGCTAAAATCTATGTAAAAAAATGTTTGATAATGGTTAGGCTGAACATTTACCGACAAAATGTAATCAGCTGACATAAGAATTTACGATATAAAATATTAATGAATTTTAGTAATAATCTAAATATGAAAAAGTTTTTGTCTGTTGTTAAGTTTTTATAGAAAATTACGATGATAGAATATTGGTCAATGAAATGTTAAACTTAACCCTAAATATAAATCCAATTAAATCTGTTTTGCATCATTAATAGAGAGACGGCTCCATAATTTTGCTACATATTGATAGTATTTAGGCCTAACAAACAGAGAATAGTAATTTACCTTTCAGTTCAACCGTTTCGTTGTATGGATTTATTCCAAGATAGCAGGAGCAATCTTCAGTTGAAGGATTGCAGTAACACTGGTTTTTCGGGTTCCTGACAAACGAATATCCTCTATCGGTATTACAAATACATTTTCTGTCGACCGTAGTGTTGCCGATTTGATACGTCTCTTGACCTAAGCTGCTACATAGTGATTTTTGATAGGTGCAGTCACTGTTCCCAATTGTGTAAAAAATGAAAGGCTGATATCGAGTTGCACTGCATGTTGCTTTGTTTAAGTTCGGCTGAAAGACGTATTTATATCCTGCAAATGTTAAGTAAAGAAAGTGCTTAATAATTTATTAATGGTTTCACCAGGGTTATCTTGCCGCAATAGCCACTTCTTAATAGAGGTACATGGAAATAATTTGATTAAATATATTCACAACAAAATTATTTTAGTTACAATGAAATGCTATAAATAATAAAAAAAGACTAGTATTTTTTTTTAAGAAACGTTCTGTTTAATTGTTTATCAAACATTTTTTTGTATATGAAAATACAGTTATTGTTTGAAATATTACTTACATTTATTTACTCTGATAAAGCTCACAACTAAATAATTTTACATGATATTATTAACAGGACAATTGTTTAGATATTTACAAAAGCTTACCAGGATGTAAAATTCTAGGTTTATTACAAATATCTCTATATACATTTACTCTAAAAGTTACGTTAAATAAGCAAGTATAATTTTCTGGAGGCCTGCACATGGATGTTGCCCGAATAATCCAGTGTCCCTGTGATGGACAAGTGAAGTTGTATGCTTCATTTAAGGATAATATCTACAAAAAAGATATATGCATATTCATCAATAATTTAAGCAAGTGTTCAATCAAAATTGTATTTTGTCAACACAGACGCACATAGTCGAAGGTTTGTGAGCATGTAAACAAACGTATGAAAAACACCAGCCTTAGTATTGTGTATTCCAGACGCGCGTTTAGGCTAAATAAGACTCACCAATTATGTTGGTAGGTCAAATCAAATACGAAGTTCTACGGATAGTGTGTAATAAAACTTTGCTGTTGGAAATTATTTGAAATAAAGGAATATATTTCTCTCATGCAAGAACTGATTCCTTGCCTGGCTTTCGACTATACTTTAAAGGAGAGGCGAAAGATACAGGAGGGACATTCAAACCCATAAGTCGAAAATAAAAAGACAACGCCATGGCTAAAAAAGAAAATAGACCAAGAGACAAACAATAGTACACAAAACACAACATAGAAAACTAAAGACTGAGCAACATGAATCCCACCAAAAACTGGGGGTGATTTCAGGTGGTCCGGAAGGGTAAGCAGATCCTGCTCCACATGGAGCACCCGTTGTGTTGCTCATTTTAGTTCAAATCCGGTTATAAATCTAATTCGGTAGGTCACATTAGTGAAAAGGGGAAAGGATTGTAGTCCCTACATGAGGAACATATCCACTATCATCTGTGAAACGGATATTTCATAAAGGGCAACCAACTTGTGATGGTGTTCATAACATTTACGAAGGGATGATTTTAATTTCACCATTTTGAACTGTTGGATCAATAGTTTCCTTGAGAGCATAAATCCTCTATCAAGAAAATCATAATAGGAAATACAAGCCCTGGAATAGCCCTGGAATATCGTAACAGCTGGGAAATATATACTCTGTATGCAGGGGCTGCTGCAATGCTGTTACATAGAAATGGAAAGGCCACAATTGGGAAGCTGAAATCATCTCTTGTGTCGTAAAGTTTTGTTTTCAACCGACCCTCATTATCAATTTCTATATGGAAGTCAGGATATGAAGCAGACTTAGCTGTATCTGTTGTATTCTGTATTTCTAGTTCGATGGGATGGATGCGTTCATCATAATCACCAAATTTGGAATTATTTAGTGAGAGAATATCATCTATATAGCGGAAAGTAAAGTTAAAAGATACTGCTAACTTCTTATCTTTCTTCCTAAAACGTTCCTGTATAAAGTCAGCCTCATATGAATAAAGAAACAAGTCGGCAAGAAGAGGGGCACAGTTGGTTCCCATGGGAATGCCAATTGCTTGTTGAAAAACAGTCCCTCCAAACGTAACAAATATGTTGTCAATCAAGAAATCAAGCATCTTGATAATGTCAGTTTCAGAGAATTTTTTGTTTGTATCAGAGTGGTTTTTTTTTCCAAAGTATGATTTATCCCTCTCTAAGTCAAGATACTTGTATCTGCTTTGGTTATTCTTTTTTTTTATAATAAGGACCGACTCTTTCAATTTGTCATTTAGTTTGGAATGGAGAATACTTGTGTAAAGTGTAGAACAGTCAAATGTTTTAATACTATTGCAAGATGAAAGAGTCTTAAATTGTACGTACTCTAAACATGCTAAAAGATCTTTGGACTTTTTTAGTATTCACATCTGATTCACGCCACCTCTAAAATAGGCCTCGATTATAACGAAAGAGACGGGTTTCATCGAAATACGCATCTGGTGCAGAAGAATTACTACCGTTAATGTTATTTTATAGCTTTGAATACAGAAAATTAGTGCCAGTTACAGATAAGGAAATCTGATCCAGGGGTAGAAAACACCTTAATGCTTTGAAAACTTTAACATGATTGTATATATAGAAAATTAAAGCAAACCCATCCGAGTTATGAAGAAGAATGACTGACTTTTGAGATTGGATATCGGTAATCTACTGTTGCCTCTTATATGCGTCAATTTCAACTCTTACATAATTTTCTTTGAATCGCTTTTCTGACAGTGAAAGTATTGAAAACAGTAATATTACAAAAATAAAGAACTCCAAGGCAAGTTCAAACACATCAAACGAATGGTTAAACTGACCTAGACTTTTATTTGACATTTATACAAGATTAAATATTTGATACTGAATATGACTGTGTGATATTTCTGGGAATTGATTTGAAATTCAACGATCACATTTCTATTTGTTGTTGTGAATCCTCGGTTCTTTTCAGTTCGTGCAACTGCAGATAAATGACGAAAACTACGGAATAGATTGCCAAACAAACTTTTGTCTGATGATGTAATGGCCACAAATAAATTGAATGGGACATTTTGATTGACTCTATCATGCTAAATACCATATGATCTTTAACGGTGTTCATAAGTAGTTGTCCAGAAAACAGTGCAGCTGAAGTTACAATACCATCACGTCATTTGACAATATTGTCCCGGTATAAAGTTAGTGAAATAGAAGAAGTTAAATCTTTCAATAAGTGAATTATTAAGTTTACGATCAGACCGAGTTTAAAATTTGGGACTTTATTGTGGCCTAAAACTGGTTATAATTCAATTACTTATTTTTTGGATACATTTTAGTTTAATACGGACAATACAATTCTTGGAGGAGAATCTACGAAGCACTGGTGGTATATAAAAATATCTGACGATAAAGTCTTTAAAATGGATACTTATTCTGTAAATCCTAGAAGTTAAACCTTTGCGAAAGAGAGATGAAAGATACCAAAGGGATATCCAAAATTATAAGTCGAAAACAAATTAACAATGTCAGAGCAAAAAAACAAACTAACAATGTCAGAGCAAAAAAACAAACTAACAATGTCAGAGCAAAAAAACAAACTAACAATGTCAGAGCAAAAAAACAAACTAACAATGTCAGAGCAAAAAAACAAACTAACAATGTCAGAGCAAAAAAACAAACTAACAATGTCAGAGCAAAAAAACAAACTAACAATGTCAGAGCAAAAAAACAAACTAACAATGTCAGAGCAATAAAACAAACTAACAATGTCAGAGCAAAACAACAAACTAACAATGTCAGAGCAAAAAACAAACTAACAATGTCAGAGCAAAAAACAAATTAACAATGTCAGAGCAAAAAAACAAACTAACAATGTCAGAGCAAAAAAACAAACTAACAATGTCAGAGCAAAAAACAAACTAACAATGTCAGAGCAAAAACAAACTAACAATGTCAAACCAAAAAACAAACTAACAATGTCAGACCGAAAAACAAACTAACAATGTCAGAGCAAAAAACAAACTAACAATGTCAGAGCAAAAAACAAAACAAAAAACGACGAAAGGACGAACAATAGTACACAACATAGGTAACTAAAGACTGAGCAACACGAACCCCACTAAAAACCGAAAATTGGGCGTTCGTTTTGCTGTGAGGGATATATAAATACACAGCCATGTCCGGTCAAGGCTTTATTACCGGGTTTGTACTAACATGAGCAACGCGACGGGTGCCACATGTGGAGCAGGATCTGCTTACCCTTCCGGAGCACCTGAGATCACCCCCAGTGTTTGGTGGGGTTCGTGTTATTCAGTCTTTAGTTTTATATGTTGTGTTTTGTGTACTATTGTTTTCTGTTGGTCTTTTTCTTTTTTAGCCATGGCGTTGTCTTTTTATTTTCGACTTATGGGTTTGAATATTCCTTTGGTATCTTTCGCCCCTCTTCTGTCCCTATTTAATAAATCTTCTTTTCCAGTGGCTTCCAAATTTCCGCCTATAATACCAGTCTATTATTATAGGATATACCTTTTGCATTCAAAACTAATTTGTTCTCGTCCTGACCAGAATGAAATATTTGCCATTGAACGTAAGGCAAACAACAATCCATCATTATTCCGTTCAACGCATATGCTTATATGGTGTGTTGCGATGAGCATTTGTTAGGAATCAGGTGTTAATTGATTGAGTGTTGGTTGATTAACGTCCAGTGGCAAATATTTCATGCATATTCAGGACGAGAACAATTTAACAATAAACACAATAGGTAGGTTCTGTAAAAGGGGTGTCCGAGATTAAGGTCGGAGAAATTTAGACTGCCACGGGAAATGAGGGTATATTGGATAGGAACAGAAATTTAGCCTTGCAACAGGTCACCTACAGACCCCTCAAAGAGTCTCTTTACACCAGGCATCGGTTTTAACGTCCACATTCTGACCGGACGTGGCTGCATATTTGTACATCCCGCACAGCCAAACGGACGCCCCACTTTGGCAAGGATTTTACTGCCGGTCGGAGGAAGACCAATGGTGACCATACTTCTATTCCCCAGTCACCCCTAGAGTGAATCAGGTGTTGAACAAGAGGGTCCCTTTTCTTATCTTTAAAACGAGTAACAACATATTAATTATATATAACGCTGTTTTTGAAATAGATAATTTCTATGTTATTCTCTTTTTCTGTTCATTAATCAAAAGATTAAAACGATTATTGTTACTTTTTTGATTGTGTCCTATGCCGTCTTGTGACAGTTTAACCTTCTACTGTATATATTGATAATTTGTTTCGTCCTGAAAATGTATAAAATATTTGTCATTTGACGTAAAGCAAACAACAATCCTTGATGAAGTAAGACTGTTTGTGAACACGGGTATATATCCATAGGACAAACTGCCACGCTCGCACTGTCATGTATTCGCCTTAAATAAATCGTGAAAAACAACATAACGGACATGTGTTATAAAATTTCAAGTTGACTTGATGGTAAATTACTTTAAACTTTACTTTAAACTAAATCTTATTCTGAGATGCACTGTTTTCACACTTTACATTTGTGTGATTAGGAAACCATAAAATAGGGTTAAATCTGTTACTATTTGGAATATGATTCAAAAGGTTTACCACTATTTAAGGCCAGTTTGTGTAATAACATTCATCTTACATAGTCCATCAGAATTATTTGCCGTATACGTTATTTCCTTCAAGTTATCTAACATATATCTCGATGTGCCCAGTGGTTGACTAAATGCTTGTATTGTTTTTGCACGCTTCAGTACGACAGTACATGTAAAATTTATTTGCCAGATTT